TGACCACTATGGATCAATCCCGTTCAAAGTGAATGTTGCAACGGAACAGTGGAGGTGAAATGTGCTTAATAGTATAAAGTTTTGAATAATTAGTATTGGCAGTATCCCTAGTGTACTTCGCCTGTTTGGGGTTGAGGCTGCTCAACATGAGTGAACAAGATGTCTTACCAGTTTTGTGAAGGGGCAGACGAGATGACATTCAATTTAATCAAACTGGAGAATGAGAAATTATTTTAAATTAATATCTGCAGACATGCACTTAGCCAGTGAAAAAGAAGTATCAACAGCAGAAAGCATTCTGACCGTGAGCCATGTAACCAACGAGGGCTGTCATGCGAGAGCGTCCCATTCCCCTTTTTATAACGGTGTGCCCCCGAATCCTTGCGCTCTCGAAGTCCATGCTTGCGCTACGTCACAGAAGTGTGGACTTGGAGGAAGGGCTCAGGACGTAGTGAGCCTGCCCAGCAGTGCTGTAATCTGATCTGGCTACCTGTGGGACAGTGCAGTGACTGAACTCTGTTATTTCTCCCAAGATTCTTGGTGTCAGAAGGGTGACGATCTGGGGAAACGACTTCTCTGTGCCTCTTCTAGTCTCATCTCCTCCTTCATTTCACTGACAAGCTAACAACCCACACAAGCAGCTTGCCTGTTGCTCTACGAGCAGACACAGAAAGAAAAATCATATCTAGCTGTTTGCTTGTTAGTTTCATCATGCATCAGCTTATACAAATAACCTATTGGTTTACCATTATTTATTATTTTATACCATTTATTTAGTGGTTCTTTCATTTCTGTTTCCACTTACGTTCTCATAAAGAAAGTCAAAAAGAAAACCGTGAGAGCGGGCGAGGGCGCCGGGTCATGTGAGTGGGAGTGGGAGTGGAGAGTTTGGAGAAGCAGGGCAGTGTGCTGGTGAGGCAGATGCATGATTACAGCAGTTTCACTTTAGTGTGTGCTGAGCCCCCCTCCTCTCGGCCTACCTTTATCTATCTATGTTTAGCAGGTGAGGTCATACCTGCTCAATCTAACGCCCCACCTAGTCAAGACTTCCAGGCAGTAGGCGGAGTCCTTCCAGTAAGCTACGTGCTCCGTTCAGATCTCTGGCCGCGCTCCAGCTGCACCTGTCAGACGAGTCTGTTGCCGCGGAGACCGCGCCGGGCAGGTGAAGGTGCTGCTGCCCTGCCGGTCCACAGCCTGCGCTCCGTCGCTAAGAGCACAGCATGGCAGGCACTGCAACGACACTGCTCCGTCTGCAGGCAGGCAGGCAGGCAGGGCTGTTATTCGAGACTGAGCTCCCTCCTTCATGCTCTGTGAACCTGGGAATGTAGGAGAGTCGGTGCTGGGGTGCAGTGTCACATTCTGGAAGCCAGAGAAAAAGCGACACAAACAGCCATCACTCCTGGCTCCCCCTTACTCCAACTCCTGATTTAATTAAACCCATCTTGAATTATTCATCAGAGCCCTCTATCTGGCCCTGTCCTGCCCCTCTTTGGTTCCTCTGCTCTCTTTTCTTCATCTCATTTAATCAATGCTGCTGAGCGCCTTGCAGTGTGTCTGACACTTGGCCTTCACTACCTAGTCAAGGTTTTTGAAGCTCTTTAGGACAGGCAGAAGAACGAGTCACCTGGTCTCAAGCTAGCCAGCCCATGCTGCCTGCAGGGCCCCTGTGATCCACTCTGGGGTCCACAGAAAATCCAAGATCAGTTGTCACCCAAGATCAGTTGTACGCAGCAGTCTTTTAGAGACTGTAAAGCTTTGATAACAATATATTGTGGAACTGTGCACCTGCCTTTCTGCTTGTAGCACCTTGTTATTAACTGTAATAGTATCGATAACTGTGCACGTACAGGGGTGTTTCAGTAAGTAAGGTAACAAGGTCCCATGGTAATGTAATTATATGCTCGTGGCCACATCCCTAGCCAGTGATAAGACAATAATGATAACGTCTCCAAACCTGTTCAGGCATGTGTCCACAGTGACAGCAAGGCACTGAATCCATTGGAGCTGAAATCCATACGGACCTCCTGGAGAACAGACTTCAACGCCTGCTGCATGTCTGCATTGGTTCACAGGACCGAAGTGCTGGAGATCTCTGGGTCAGGTCAGGAATGATCCAGCTCCCCTCACAAGGAGGCACAAGTGGTTGGCAGCACACAACCCTAGTGTGGAGGTTTGGGCTGTCTTTGATGTGACCAGTCCAGACGGCAATGGTGGACTATCAGCATTTGACCACGGGCTGCACAAGGCCAGCGCTCTTCAAACTGACGCTTGTGTGGGCTCCCAACAAAACTGTTACCATGCCCCCGTCTGCTCTAACCTGCTGGGGTAACTCTCTGTCTGCCCCAGGAGCTCCTGCTGCCTTATCTATCTAAGTACCCCTCATGTGTTCACATGGGACTTTCCTACTGGAGGGTATGACTTAAACCAGGGCTGTTCCACCATCAATGTCCAGCAGTAGAAAGGATTGGAAGGGTCTCAAGCTGAGTAGCCTTAACTTGAACTCTTGCTTTGACAATTAAACCCCCTTGTGTTCTGTAGACCCTTGCTGTTTATCTTTGTCAAAAGATCAGGGGGGACAGAAGGAGGCTGAAGCCCCTTCTGCAGCAGTGCTGGAGCTGTGGGCTCCGCAACAGCGTGATCACTGGCTTCTGGACACCGGAGAAGCTGGCTGGCAGGGGCAGCTGGAGTGACACCTCCTCTGAGGTAATGGGCTCTTGTGGCTTCTTCCGGCTCTGCGGTGCTCCGTGTCTGACACTCAGCCATGCTGTTACATAAGCTCCTCCACTCCAGCTCCTGTAAACTCATCCAAAAACACACAAGGGCCAACACTGGGCGGGGGATCTTACTGCCAGGAGTGCAGGAGGGTATGGAGATTGGAGGCTTATGAAACATTTAAACAATGTTGTAAGAATGTCAACAGTTCTTTTTGCATGAGTGTGGGTTGGTTTTTTGAAGCTACAGTAAAGTATTTACCCAGCTGTCTTCTCTCTCCCCTAGCTGAGACTGCCGTAATTAGTCAGGGGAGCCTGGTTTTTCCCATGGCTGTAGTAGCTGGAGATCCTCGGATCGCTTGGCTGCTGGAAGCAAGCCCAGCGACCGGCCAAACGTCTCCCCCTTCACCCCTCTTCTGTCCTTTCCTTCTGTCCCCCTCCCCAGCACCTCTGCACAGAGGAGACATTTTTTCTTTTCCTCTGTCTCTATGGGTCCGTCAGAAACAAGTCTGGTGAAACAAAACCCCGACATCAGGAGCTTGTATTTGTGCCATGGACCCGCCACAGGAGCTGAAGCGTCCTTTTGATCCGGGGCTCGGCCGAACTGACCTGCTGGTCACAGTTAACAGGCCCTCTCGGTAAATCCGACGGAATTGAGATCTTGCTGCCTTTCACCTGACGAGCAGAAAGCATTCCGATGTGTTAGTGTGCAATGATTCTCTGAGGAGAGCCTCATCGCCCTCCTGTATTCCTCTCCACTGTTTGTACTCTGGGCAGAGGCATTGCCACTGTTCCAGGTGCTCCCATCCTGCATCCAGTTCACCTGCACTTGAAATCCAATCCTTCCTTGGAACAACATGTTAACCCAACAGTCTGACTAGTCCATGATTTCATGGAATGTGTTTTCTGTGTGCCGAAACTATGTTTGAGGAAAATACTGAATTAGAAAGAGATCATGTTTAATCATCCTTTTACAACCGCCTGTTGTAGGTTTGCCTTACAGGACTGACTAAAGGACTGTCAGTGCATCCCTACACACAATCCTGATCCTAACCCCAAACTCTGAGGCACTGGCTCAAAGACCTGCCTCTACTCCTGACCTGACCTCTGACCCTGTGACTTCCACACCCAGGAGTGTACGTTCTTGTGGAGCAGCATAGACTCAACTGCACATAAGCCAGAGTTCCCCTTTGAAAGTCGATAGTCATTGAATATCTTGGAGAGAGAGGAGGATGAAAACTAACAAATGACATCATGCAGGTCAAGGGAATGCTGGCTGAGGACAGAGGGGTGCTGCAGAATTGCACTGTAGGTTTGCTATGCAGCCCAGGGATAAACACCATGTGACCCATTGAAAGCTGAGAAATTCCTCACTGTTTTTTTCCAGCTGAGCACACTCCAGGCTGTGCAGCCTTGAACACTTGGAGGTCAGATCCTTTCCCTTGACTGGGAAAGCAGTGTTCCAGGACTGGTTTCCAAAGGAATAGAATAATGATAGAAAAAGTGAAGTGAAAAACAGGAATCTGGAACGTCTGATGTTTTTAATAAGCTGGTTCATCAGAGTCATGTCTGCATGTGCCCCTTGAGGGGTTTCATGGCCTTGAGCTATTGTTTCTCTCTCTGTTTGATTTGGCAAGAGCCACCATGGCCTTGATAAGTTAATACACCTTCAGTAGAAAAGCGTTAAAAACGACACTGTCTTTGTTTCAGACACAAGAGAATGTCACAACAAAGTCTTTGTCTGATAGCCCTGCCTAATCATTAATAGCCCCCGTGAGATGGGTCAGGTCATGCTGGAAAAGTATTCTGCCGTAGCAGTAAAGTCACAACTACTCCCAGCTGAATCTCCCAGGTCCTTCCCACTACCCAGGAAAAAAGATGAAAGCTATAAGCAAGACAAAACCACTGCCTACTTTCATGATATATAGAAGTAACTGTAGCAAATGTACTCATAGTTAACATGTTTGTTGTAATCTAAATAGGGCATTTCTCCCTCCTGAAGTTTACTTCTATAAACAGCTCTCAGAACAGTGAATTCTAGCAACATTAATTAGCCTTATAAAAGCGGGAAGTGGTAATTATGCTTAAAACAGTCCATGTGAAGTATGGAAGGATGTAATACAATGTAATAGTTCTGTTTTACCAAGGTATGCTGTGCGGAGGTAAAAGATGGGACTAAAGATGCTTCCTGGATAACATACTGTGCTTTGTGCTGTCATCGTTGCACAGTAGACAGAAACTTATCTGTAAGAATATTTCCCCTTTCTGACTGCAGAGAGTTTTCCGAACAAACAACACCATTCTCTCCAATACTTTCTCTTTTATTAAAAAAACAGCTTAGTTTTGTACAAAAGGTACATATACATTTCAAAACATCTTAAGATTTTCTTACATAACAAACGTATTTCTTGAAAAAATATTACCAGTCCAGCTGAATAAAACTTAAATCATTCTGTTGTTAAAAACTTGATTTACAAACATCTTTACTTATAAAATACACTGATAAAGAGGTATATACAGACATAAGGAATCGTGCTTCAGGAAGAAAAGATGGATACATTTACAAATTTCCCTACTTCATCTCGCCAAATAGGTAAAACCAAAGTGCTTTGTATCGTATAACTTTCCAATCTGGAAGTACCTGTGCCTTGGGCCAGGGAGGGAGTATGGTGTTTTTGAGGGGCTCTCTGTGGCTTTTCCTCTCAGAGCCTGGGAATGTGCTTCTTACAGTCCCAGCTAGCAAAGCCAGCTGTGCCTCTGCTAGCCCTCGGCTCCAGAACAGGCTGCAGCGCAGGTGAAAAACACCTGGACTGACGGGCTTGTCATCACTCCAGTCTAGAGTGGCGAGGAGGATGTGAATCAAAGTCATCGGTCAAAATATTGAGACAAAGCTTCAGAAAAACACCAGTACTGAGCTCTCTGGGCCATAAGACACAGGTGGGAGGAGGGATAACAAGCCCATCACCAGCACTCTCAACCGTGAAAATAACGAGAAAGCATGTTAAATAAGCACAGAGCAAAAGTAAAAAATAAAATTCACCAAGAATACAATATCATTTTCGGTTCATACAACCTACTTTAGCCAAAATGTTGGCTTACGTTTTTAGAGACGCCCCCACAATGAAAGGCGTTCACGCTTGGTGGCCCTGCAGATGGGCCGGATGTTTTTAACCAAATGTCAGGATTGCCAGTCCTTCACGTCTCTCAGACTCGCCCCCGGCTCGAACCGTGGACAGGTGCCCTAACCAGAGGCCACCAGTCTCCGCAGGATTTCCGCCGCCTTCCACCTTTCCTCTTCCCATGGCGTTCCCAAAAACCTCACATTCCCAGGCCCACTTCCCCCACCTTCCAGCCGCTGGAGTTCTTCCCGAACTTGTAAACTAGCCGCCGGCCGTCCACCCTCTCCAGGATCTCCCTCTTGTAGTAGTACCTGCAGAGGCAGACAGAGGGACAGAGAGCCGGTCAGTGCCACGCTCTGCAGGACAGCTGAGTGTCCCGACAGGCCCGCCTGCCTGCAGGCTCAGGGGTTTCTCCCTGGCGTTCCTGCTGCGCAGTCAGGGATCCTGTAGCTTTTCTGCCGCTGCACTGTCTATAGGTTCCAAAATCCTGCCCTGGTACTAAAAACATGGTGATGCACCGACTTTAAATTTTGTGGAATCATACAAATGACTGTGCCAAGATGAAGACTGTGAAAAAGGAGCTGCTTTCTCAGGCCTGGGAATCCCCGGGGGGGGTTGCAGATGGTTCCCTGTCTCTCTGCTCACCTCATGGCGCGGCTCAGCTTCTCGTACGTCATGCTGCTGTTCTTCTTCTTCTGCCCCCAGAGCTGCGCCACCGCCTCCGACTTGAGGAACTTGAAGACGCCCTCCCGCCGGTCCTCCCACTTCATCAGCCCGTTGTTCAGCTCCGGGTGGATCAGGATGTCCCGGATGAACTCCCACAGGTGCGTGCCGCGGGGCGCTGCGGGGAGACAGCACAGCCGCGGTCAGGCCCGGTCCCCACTCCCCCCCCACTGCCACCCAGCCCGTCCCTGCCGCTGGTAGGCTCTCGGTGCTCCAGAGCGAGGTGCTGCCAGTGCAGCTGTGCCAAGCTGCTCTGAGGAATACCAACAAGTCCTAAGAGGCTCAGCTGGCTGCTTCTTGCCCAGCACTTGTTCCACCAAGGGGAACGGAGCCCAATTACCCTGGATTGTACTGTTGTGGACTCCTTTGCCTTGTGAAGGTGCTCAACTCACCATGTTTGCTCTTCTTGGTGTCCATGCAGTCCTCAGCACCTCGGCTCAGCTTCCTGGGCCTCCCCCTTCCTCTCTTGCCAGGCTTGAGCTCCGCCCTGCCGGGCTCCTGGTAACTGTCTGTTAAGGGGAGAGCAGAAAGTCAGGACACAAGCATGGAGCTCTGTAATGGTGGTGCACAGCAGGAATCGAGCAACGAGACCCCAGCAAAACTGACCAAAGCCACAGAACTGCCTGCCAGCACATGCATTGCCCTGTGTGCTGTCCAGGAAGAGAAGGATGTGTTTGTGTCTTTTTCGCATGTTACAGGTGTCTCAGAGGCCAGGTGAGAGGACAGCGACTCACCTGTGGCACTGGGGAGCCTCATCTCGGAGAAGTCCAGCTCGGAGTCACTTCCACCGGAGTCTGGGGAGCTGGGGAAGTTCTGCATCCCTGCAGCACAGAAAAAGAGCACTTTTCAAAACACTGAGACCTTAAATCTGTATGTGTCATAGCTGAAACTGAAGGACTTTTCTAATTGAATGCCACAGCTTTTACTGGCAAAGCCATTCTATACGTTCTGGAATAAATCTATTTAAGGGGGCACCCGCACTGCTCCAGTCTGCAGCTATCCAAAGGCCACTAGGGGACTTCAGCTTCCTGAGTGAGTACTGAAGGAAGCAAACATTGACAGCCCCACACTAGACGAGATGTTGGTTTCCTTTCTCCCTGAACAGACCATTCGACACTCGCCTGCGCTGGAGCTGTCCAGGCTGTCCGGGGACGTGGGTCCAGACTCGTACCCGAGGTCGCTCCAGGACGGCAGCTCACCCATCATCTTCAGCTCACTCTGCACATCCCGGGAGGTTGGTTTGCTGAAGTCAGTGCCGCAGCCTGCAAAAACATAGCAGATAAGCTCTGTGAGCACAGAGGGACACGCAGCCAACACTCCCAGTGTCTGAGATCCCACCCGGATCCAGCGTATTCTAGTGTCCGCAAGGGACTGTGAGCTGTACTCAAAGTTACACTGTAGGCAAGAGCTTTGAAAACTGCGGAACAGGAGGCACTTCTTTACACAAAGGGTTGTGGGGATGTGGAGCAAGCAGCCCTGCCACACTGTCAAAGCCGATACCCTGGTTCCTTTTAGAAAACAGACTGACGAGAGCAGATGGGCTAAATGTCTCCTCTTGTGAGGAGTTTGTGTTCAACTGTTTGTGTTCAGTTGGTAGTCAACACTGTTACCAAGGCTGTGGGTCTCACTGGCTTGGTTTATAACAGCAATGAACTGTGGTCCATTTGCCTTTGACTATAAACAAACAAGGAGCGCCCTGAAAAGTTCTCCTAGTGACAGTTAACCTTGGCTTTATCTTTCAGTGTGACTGCAGTCAGAACTAAGACGTCTGGCTTGTCTCTGAACAGGTGATCGATTGACCAGAACAAAGTCCTCTCGTACCGGGTCCTGGAGCCACAACAACTGTAGGCAGGAGGTTGTAGGTGTCTTCGGCAAAGATTTCCGGGAGGTCAGTGAAGAGGGTGTTCAGAATGTCATTGGTGATGTCATCAACACCTGAAACAGCAGAGAGGCAGTGGTCAGAGACGGTCCCTCTTACTACAGAGCCTCTGCTGGAGCAGGAGCACTAAATCAGACACGCTCCACTCAAGCACTTTGTGTTGCAGGTGTGTGAGGCAGGCTGTCTTGTTGAGGTGATTGTTTCAAACCCGAAAGAAAAGACGTTTTGAGTAAAATGAGTCTGTTTTTTTTATAAAAAGGGTTTATTTCCCTGGAGCCGGGCTCCCTGTGGAGAGTTGCCCAGTTTGCACTGTGCTGTTCATGTGGACTTGAAAGGTCTCTGAGCTCTCTCTGATCCCTGAGGACACTTACTGTTTTTCGCCTTCAGGTCCTGCAGGCTGTGGTACAGTCGGTCCCCCAGTGGCCCAAACATGGAAAGCATCGTGTCCCGGGACATCTGGCACAGCACGGACCCCTCCAGGGTGCAGTAGGCCATGTTCAGGGTGCTGGCGTCGAACTTGGTCTCCTCCACATGGTAGCTGATCCACTCCAGCACGTTCTGCTTGCTCCAGAACTGCGGGTCAGTGTTGTACCACTTGCAGGGGCCTGAAAACCAAGCGCAGACAGGCCTCAGACTCCCTGTCCGAGCAGCTCGTGACCAGACACCTTCCCCAGAGCTCCGCAGCGATTTAAAACACTGGAAACACGGAGCGCTGTTATTTCCTTGTGCTATCAAACTGTCTTTAACAAAACAGCAGTACAGACTATTGCTGGACACAAACTACTTAGTAGTGAGATGCTGTGACATTGACAGAACACAAAGTAAAAAACTCATCATACATCACTGAGAGAACTATACCTTGTATGAAATTTAAAAACGAGTTAGGAAATGAACATTTCCAGAGCTCCGAAATCCATGCGTGTGGGCTTTAAATTCAGGTCAACAATTATTGGGGGGGATTAATTAATCGGGAAGATTCGTCGAGCTTATAATGGCTCTGGGCGACACTTTGAACAGGAATGCTGTGTCACCAGCCTTGTGCGCGCCATCCCTAACGGCTCTGCACTCGGCTTTCCGGGCTCGATTCCAGGTGTCTTCTCCTGCTAATAAATCCCGCCCTCGTCCCCCCGTGGAGACTCAGGCGCGTTAATAGCTGCGCTTTATGGTTTCGATGAAAGGCAATTTACTGGCACGCGCTTATCGGGAGCCATTAACCTAGTTACTCAAGCTAACAGCCGCTGTGAGCAATCACGGTGGTCACGCTACCTGTGCGCTAATCACGTCTGCAAATAATGTTTGGGGTGCTAAATGTAGTTAAGAAAACAGTGTTTTTTTTTCTCTCCCGCTCTTTGATTTTATCGCCAGGCGCCACTGTGATAAGCCTGTTGTTCAGTCTCTGTTGGCGTAGCCGTGTTTGGTGTCTTCACCCTGTCTTACCCAGGAGCTCTGCGGGCAGCTGCGCGCTGGTCAGCAGCTGCAGGGAGTCCTTGCTGTCGCCGAGGGACAGGCTGCCCGCGGGCTGCCCGGGGTCCGAGATCTGATACATGGCGTGGTTGGCTTTGGTGAGGATGCTGCTGAGCTCGCAAGTCGCCGACATCAGTTCTTCCTTCTGCAGTGCAGCCAGTAAGAAAATCAGTTATTACAAGAATTCATACTTCATACAGTCACCGTCTCCACACCAAAGCATTTACAATAACCACACACTAGGCAGCTGAAGTACTGTTAATACCACTTTACAACCGCTATTAATTTATTACTCCAGATATTAAAATTCGCTATCAAATTCAGCCTCAAGTTTGTTTTTTCCTTGACGGGGCTCCTTGACAGGCTTAAAGTTTCTGCTTAAAAATACACCGATTATACATCTGTAAATCGTCTGAAAATTATGCTCGTGCCCTTTGATTAATTGTTTTTAATCAATTGATGTTGGCACTACAGAGCGGACGGAACGGGAATACGGTGAATTAATCTTTTATTTCGAGAAACGCATCCAGACACTGCAATGGGACTGAGATGTCCCGGAATCGCTGATGACACGGTGCATTTAGCAGCTAAAGGAATCGCCCAGGCAGACACTGCATCGTCTCCCATAGCTACTGACTTCGAACTTCATAAACCCGTCGCGTAATTATTTTAGATTGTTTACAAGGTTCTTTCTGGCGCAGCGACACGGACAGCGCTAATTTACATTCTCATTCTCGGAATTCACGAGGATTACATGTGTCATGTATTTCATGACTATTATCAGATCACATTTACATTTCACATGTACTGTGAGATTATTATCTGATTTTTGGGGAAAAAAAACGTTTGCAGACTACAACAATATATAACTAGTTATAAAGAGTTAATACGCGATAATTCCGCAATATGTGTCTATCCTACGTTGTAAATTTTACATAAAAGAGCTGCGATTTTTAATACCTTTGCCTGCGTAATTTTACTTACTATAATGGTGCTTTGTAGAGCTTACTCAATGTTGTTTAATTTTATAGGCAAGGCAAAACTGCTGGCTTGATTCATCTCTCCTCAAGGTAAAATCTTATTTTTTTAATATGTTATCTGGAGTAATTTACAATAAGCAGCCTGAAACTTTATTTTTGCCAGATTTCCTTTCTGAATCCAATATCCTAGCAGTTTGAATCCCTCTAGGATCACGAGAAAGCTCAGTTCTGCTTTTTGTGCAAAAGCGGACACACAGCTGCTGTACCGGAGCATGAGCTGACTCGCATTTACACACACGCACAAGCAGCAGGCATTGGCATGGCAGAGGAAAAGAAACACTTCTCCATACCTGTTGAAACAGGACCAGGCGCCGGACACTAGATCAAACAGAGGGAGGTTAAAAAGCCGTTGAAGAGCGAGAGAAATAATCCAGTACAGGTGATCCCTGTGGCGCTGTTACTCCCCAGATCGCTGCTGTGTTCACGGCCCTGAGTGCACCTGTTTCACCAATACCTGCGAGCTGCCAGCCTCGCTCGCTTTATAGCTCTTGCTGAGGGGGGTGGAGCTCCAGGTGAGCGGGGAATTCCACACCGGGCTGCTCTCCGCTGGAGAGAAGAGACATTTGCATGAAGAACAGGTGCCTGAATAGCTGTGCAGCCACACCTCCTGCACACCACAGGAAAGAAAGGGCAGGGGTAGGATTCAGGATTCAGGGTCTGATATCCTCCCCCCCCTCCCTAGTCTGTAAAGATCTCCTCTCCCGCCAGAGACAGTGCCGAGTGCGGCCAGGGGACACGCATCTGGAAACATAGTGGATCTGGTCCATTTCCTCTGCCAGGTTCCCACCCGGCCGCAGCAGCGCTTTGTCTTAATTATTATCCCGGCAGGCCTCTCCGTGTCAAGGCCCTCTGAGCTGCCTTCACCAGTTATTTCATTTCTGAGGCAGCTGCTTTCGCTGTCCTTTCTCACCTCCGCCAGCCCGCTACCACCTCTCCTGCCTCCTGCAGTTAAACTTCACAAGATGATGTCACCCTGTCAATAGAGAATGTTGATCAAGGTCCACCGGCCTGGCTGCTGTGCTGCACTGCGCTCCAGTAAGGGGGCCGTTAAAGGACTTTGATTCAGGGTGTGAAAGATGCACAACACATTGAGCACAGGGGGGATTTGGGGCTCAGACATACTGCACTTCTACTGTAAAGCAGAAATACATTTCTTATTTGTTTGCATTTGCCTTAGAAAAGCAATAACGAGACAGAAAACTGGAAGGGATGCTCTATCATTTGAGGCGTTCCTGAGAAGCAGATTCCATCAGCTGGTTCTCTTCTTTCACAGTGCAGATTTGTGTTCGAAGTGCCACTATGAAATGCCCAGCACAGCCCCAGGACATCAGTAGAGCAGGAAGGTGGTGGACTTTGCCGACTAGCACTGAGGGAGTGTGTGTTTAATTTTAGTGCTGCCAAGGGGCTCTTTCTAACTGGTACGTAAATTCCTTATTATTTCCGGAGCGAATGTTGTTGAGGCTGAGCATATGTCAGCTGTAATAGCAGTGTCAAATATTAATTAGCCCTAGTTTCTTTTCCCCTGCAGTGATTTGGAACGCACCAGTGTCTTCCAGTTTGATTCCCAACACAGAGTCTGCTGAGATCTTGTAAATGTTTATTCTAGTCTAATATGATACAAACACGGGAACGATCTGCGATACACAGTGAATCACAGCCACAACAAACACCAAGCTTGGCCAGGCTTGAGAAACAAGAACACCACGAGAACCAGTCAGCACAACCTACTGGGGCACGTTTCCTTCGGGGCTTGGTTCTGAAGAATACACATCAGCCAGTCATATTTAAAAGGTATTTCTGAGTTCGCTGTCAGGGAATGGTAAAAATTTCCTTTGGCCGATGGGGCGAAGGCACAGAATCCTGAGGTGCAGTAAAAGTTGGGACACAACCGGCTAGTCTAGTCAGTACAGCGCAGTAACCAGAGAAACTCCAGGGGTTTTGTAAGCAGATTCCTAGTCAATGCATCTGATGTTTAACCAGCATTCAACCCTGAAGACCCCCTGGGAACAAGAGGGTCCATTGTGTGCATTGCGGGGGCAGCAGACAAAAAGACAAGTTTTTCCAGTTTCCGCAACACTGACTCAATGAGCCTGAACAATAAACAAGCAGCACTGGCTACAAACAAGCAGAGCTGGCTGCTCCGGCAGGCTACAGTACTCACCTTGCACTGCGTCTCCCCTGTCCCGACATGAGGAGACTGCAGGAGCACGCTGATCTGGGCAGTGCAGGTCCTAGGAGGGACATGGGGGCTTGGGTGTGTATGTGTGGGACCAAACGTCTCATCGTCACATTTTCACTTTTTTACAATTGTTTACAAATGAGTAATGTATTTGTGCTTTAAAGGTGAAGTTTGTTTTAGACCAGAATTATCATCAGTGTTGTTGAAGCCTGCTTTTTGCGAGCATTCACGATTAATCAAACAGCCAGCCACACAAGATAAAGAATGAATTTGTCTGATTCATGTATCCAGATTGCCTTACATTTAAACAGCTGGGGATTTCGCTGGAGCTGCCCGCCTGTGTCAATGACCTCACTCAAGGTGCAGAGGCAAGGTCCCACCTGGGGGTTGAAACCCATGGCCCTGCAGTTGGAAAACACAGACCCCTGACCCTCCTCCATGCTTCAGCCTAAATATGGGCCCAATAGAGTAGTCACCTGTCTTGGGCTTTTCACCCCAAATCACAATCTCCCTGACATCACCAGTTAGTCCGACATCTGCCAGCGATGAAACCAGCCCCTCAGGAAGACTGTCCATGAGAGGAGCGAGTGCAGAGCTCCTCTGATACTCACGCACACACTCAGTCTCCAGCACAGCGCCGCTGCGCCACATCGGACATGACCACGGCAGCACTGTCCAACAGCCTGTTTTACAAAAATATAGGCTGTTTGTGTAAGACGTTTGGTAGCCAGTACCGAGGGTTAGGGTTAAGCCTTGGCTTCAATTCCTGGGGTGCTCTCTGTGTGGAGTTTCTATGTTCTCCCTGTGTTTATGTTGTTTTTTTTACCCTGTGTTCACTTGGGTTTCCTCTGTGTGCTCTAGTTTCCTCCCACAGTCCAAAGACATGCTGGTACGTTATTTAGTTTCTATTTAGTTTTGGCCCCGCTGTGAGTGTGAGCACGTGCGTGTTTGTGTCTGTCTGCCCTTTGATGGACTGGCGTCCCGTCCAGTCCTTCGGTTTCCCCACAACCCTGAAAGAGATGAAGAGGTTGGAAAATAGAGGGATGGAGGAAAGTGAGTCTTCCATTCCAAATCCTCCTTGGCTTTCAAAACGCGGAGGTATGGGTATTGGACCTCAGGGAAGGATTGGTAAGGTGCAGAGTGAGCTCATGGTAACACAGTGACATCGCTAGCCAGCCTGTCAGCCATTACAGCGATAACAAACAATACGTTTTGTGTAGGAAACAATGAAAACTGCAATTAAAAACCCATGCATTAAAATAATTATTAAACCTGAAGGAAATGTATAACAAAGCAAGAAATGAATACAATTATGATATGATCATATTAAATATCATATCATTTTAAAACATTAAGCTTTGGTGAGTGACATAGCTGTCTCACAATGTGGTCACTTAAATTTAGAAAGATTCCAAATAAGGCACAGTCTAGATGGCATTATAGCTCAGGTTTCAGCTATAATTAAGGAACAATATAACTTGCCCGATTGCATTGTAGAGATAATCCTGTCTTTGTGACGTAAATTCTTAGAAAGTTTGCTTAAGACTTACAATAAACAGCACTTAGATTTTCTCATAAGACAAGAATGAGGTAACAGGTGTGTCGTGATCTTTGACCGGATTTGTGCTGCTATCTGGTGTTTGTAAGCAGTCCTGCAGCCATACTGAGGCGATGCATTGAGTTTGCACTTGAGCTAGCCCGGGGTAAATGAGCGGGTGTCTCGTTCTTCCATCTCTGCAGGCTGCACCCCAGGCTGCAGGGATCAAGAGAAATGTCCTTGAGTAGTCCAGAATGGGTTTTGCAGACTGGTGCTCTTTGGTCTGTGTTCTGTGGAAGTTTGACATATTACAGCGAGCAGTTTGGTCTGTTTTCTGAGTGTGTATAAGTCTGTGTGTGGGGCCACAATGTGAGAATGTGCCCCGCGTGAAGACAGGAACTGCAGACAAACAGATAACATGTAAATGCCCTTTTTATAATACAAACAGCCTCTGCTTTTAAACATTGAAAGTGTCAGAAATAGTTTCAGTGCCGGGAGCTGAGGTCAGTTCCAGGCTGAAAGGCAGTGTTTTGTCTGTAGCGCCTTCTTCAGATGTGAGAGAGACAGCATGTACAAGGCATGAGGGAGCAGGGGAAGATGGACTTCCCTTCCTCACCCCTCATCACGCCCTGACAGTGGTGGATGGACTTTTCTGAGCAAACAGGCTCTTGCTGGGAATCTGGTTGGGCTGCAGCCCGTTTCTTTGGTTATGTTCACTTTACCTGGGCATTGTTCCCCTTTAATTGTTTTCAGCCCATAAACATGTCGATTGCCTCTTATTTATTATGCAGAATGTAGCAATAATGGAACAGAGGGATGAAAGCTTCAGGTCATTCAACGCAGACTGTTGATTGCTAGCTGGTGCTACTTTGACTTTTGCTGATTAGACAAACTGATTAGACTTCTGTTTTACGATAACCAAATTGTTCAGTAACTGCTGTAACCCTGTGGCTCCAGAGTTAAAGATGCATGTTCATGGAAGTTAGAGAAGGGGTCCCCAGTCCAAGCCTTGGGGACCCCCATGCCTGCTGGTGTCTGTTCCTCCTGAGCTCTCAGTACATCAGTGAACTGGTAATGGGGTTAATGGGAGCTTCTTAATTGTTTTTAGCTCATCATGTTGGAGGTTGTTCATCAAGTACTGTGTTTCATTCACTTGCAAGTTCTCCAGCTTCTGAATAGATTTTTTTCTGCAAAGGTTCCGATCAAGAGACATGTTAATTCAGTCAATGATTCAATAAAGTAACGATCTTAGTGGGGCAAAGAGTAGACAGTGTGGGGATCCCAAGATCTGGTGTGGAGGACCTGAGTAAGGGAGCAAACACCCCAGGGACCCCTCTCACTCAGCACTGGGTTCATCACTGTTCCAGTAGGTGTTTTTATTAACTACAGAAGAAACTTTACCAACAAGAGAAGGCCATTTTTATGATCTTATGTTTTGTAGTTCCTCAAAATTCTGTTCATGAAGAAGCTTATTTGGGTATATGATTGATTTCTGTTAATTAGTACTGAGTGCTGCAGTGCAGAGGTGATTCCATAACCCTGGCAGTGCTCTTATAAGAAGATAGCATTCAGGCTGCAGCCCTAAAGCCTTTACAGACTCGTTACTCTGCTAAAACACTCTCCTCACCAGGATCCAGGCTTGTCTGGTCGTGTGACTGGAGCCATACCTCCTGCCCTGGCTTTTCTGACAACTGACTCTTCCATTCACTCTTTTTCTCCCAGATCCAGCTTTAGGGTCCCCTCACCCACACCACTCCGAGATGTCACAACCCTCCTGTTTCACACATAGCTCTATTGTCACAAGGCAGCAATTAGGAGCCCTGGAATGCGGTGCTGCCAGTTTGTATGCTAGAGGTTTTTTTGGCCCCTCTGGCATGTAGGAGATGAGACAACGCAGGGGAAATTTCCACGGTGTCATCAGCTACTCCTTTCTCTGCATAGCAAGCTGGGTTGGGCTAAGTTTCCATTACAAGCCTGGTAAAATGGGGGGAATCAGAGGACCTTCACACAGGTCAGAAGACCTAGACACTGGCCAAATGTGTTCATCTTCATCTTCATCTTCATTGTTTTTATTCTGACATTTTCTGCTGGACTGTATACGCTGCCTGTATCCTCACTGTGAATTAGGACACTACAGCACACAGCGCCATCATCTGGTTCACTTTCAAATAGGAGCTAGGGCCAGATGATAAACTGCTGGAAATGGCTGGGGCTGAACTGCAAAGAGCTCGGCAGTCCATTCAGATGGCACAGTCCGGGCAGGATCCGCCCAGTCCTGCATACCCCGTCTGTGTTCTTCAGGCTTGTTTTCCTCGTCAGATCACCAGCAGCAAGTAGTAGGCGTGTTGTGAACCCTCAGGAATGACCAATAAAGCAAGGAGGCCTGAGAGGAAAACAACTGGAGGCCCCTGGCTAGTGACAGGACATTCCTGGGAGTTTCCAGCTCTTGTTTTCTCTCCCTTCCCTCATGCCCTTCACTCAAAGGGTCAGCAAGGGGTTTATTGCCAGTCTGTCTCCCCTCAGTGAGTTTGTAAGCCCACTCTGTTAAAGTTTAACTCTCTGGTGCCCTGGGTGAGTCACCACTGGGCAGGTGCCACTCAGTTTCAGGATGAAGACTGAAGACATTGGCGGCTCTGTAAAACATTACATTACATTCTGTCAATGTTTGGCCGAGGAGACTCCCAGTGGGGTCCGGAGCAAGAAGGTGTTTTCATGGGCTTGGCATCGGTGAGTGCCAGGCCTGCCAGTCACCCAGAGCCTGGAACAGCTGTGGACAAACAGGAGCAGCCCAGCAAGTTCCCACTGTTAGCAGTTGGACTGCCCTGGAGTATTTCCAGCTCACTGAGTTCCAGGGATTGATGTCAGAAATTTAAGCAGGTTTGTGGGGCTTGTGGTCACACAGTGCACAGGGTGTGTTTTTAAATGTTTTTACATAGATTCCCTCTCTTCCACCTTCTAGTGCCAGAACAAAAGCTCAATCTCAGAGAGGCGTTTACTTCTTTCAAAATCTATCAGGTTTTCAAACTGTAGGTAAAGAGCACACTTTGTATGTTTAATGAAATGAAAAAATGGATTCAATTAGGTAACTTGGACTTTGGAGGGTTTGAAAAGTCAGTAGTGGGGCTTTGGTAGTTCTGTGTTTTTTTTTTGTAGACAGAACAACTTGTGGGAGTTTTTCACTGAAGCACAGACATCTTGAGAGTGAACTTTCTGGGTAGAGTCCCAGTCCAGGAGAGAGACAGGGTGACTCAGCTCTATAACTAAACTAAACCTTTTTGTCTTCACACCGGGGGGACCAGCAGAGACACCAGTAAAACTAAAGGATGAGGACTCTATTCTCAGGAAACTAGTGAGTTCTAAGGAAATGCACAAAATGGTGCAGTTTATGAATTAGGAGATCCCTTAACTGCACAGTACTATACTATGTTATCACTACACAATCCAGACAGGATGAATGAAAGTGACTCTTCTGCTCTTCCAGTGTAATGAAACCTGCACCAGCGCAATAACAAGTACCGAAGCAGTGGAAACAGAGCAGTGGCAGGTGGTTCAGGTCTGTTCTTATCTGATGCTGCCTGTGGTTTTGCGGACAGGGAGATTTGATCTGATAGGATTACCTGGGAACAGGTCAGGCAGTGTGCACAATTCAGGACACACCGGTTTGGTTATCACAATTATCTCCTCTTTTCTCTGCTGGTGTCGCAAGGAGTGACAGGACGCTGTCCAATACACCCTCTTGGC